CTATTCTAATTACATTACTGGTACTGGTGGTGCCATAGTGCCATATAGTAATAATAATAGTTATAATAATAGTAGTAGTAATAATGATAATAGTAACATTAAAAAGTATTAATAATAGTAGCGATAGTAGTAGAATATATTTACAGTCACTATGGCACTAAGTGCCAGTCTTTATCGCCGTTCTAGGGCGGCGCTTGGACAGAAAATGCTAGCGGGTTGCGGAGTATTAACTCTGAAGAATTACAACGATTGTCTGTGGTGGTCAGAAGATGATTAGAGGGTTATTGTGTTTATGTTAGGTTGACTATTGCAACATTAAGATGGGTGGGCCTGTGATATTATTGTAAAATGTGTGTATTAATGGTTGTGGTATTGATATTAAAACACAATAGTTGCTCCGCTTTCCGCCGGTATGCAGGCACGTGTGCTTCCGTTAAGATATTTTAATTAACTGGGGAGGGGGGGTCAGAGTCCTGCTGCGCTGCTATGGTCTCGGAGCCGGTGTCTAAGGCGTTTGCCGCGGAGGTGTTCGCGCGCGCGGGCGTGCTCACGATGGTCTCCGAGACCATGAGCTTTCGCATCAGCGACGCGTATCCTGGCGAAATGCGCAGCAGGGAGCATAGGAAATCGTTATGTGTGTGCCAGGCGCCCAGGGCGCCTACGACGAAGCTCATTAACGCGTCCGCGAGAGGCCGATATTTCTGGATTTTTTCTAGCCTAGCTTTCTCCAATGCCTCGCGTTTATTCTCGAACGGAACGGTCACGTCTACCATGACGATGGTCCTCGACGGCTCGTGCGTAATGACTATGTCAGGACGCAGAGCCACGAGGTCTCCGTCGACGCCCGGGACGCTCTGGTTGATCCTAACCCCCGGGGAGCCTGAAGGCCGCGGCAAGCCTCTCGATAATCGCGTTGTGCCGCAACTGCCGAGCGGCCAAATATGGGTCGCAGTGACACAATACGTGGGGCAAGGTCTCCGACTGGTACGCGCACTTCCGGCATCTTTTATCACCGTCGCCCCATCAACGCGCTCCATTTAAGGGGAGCACATCGAGGCGCGCGCGGTGAATAAAGCGCCAGTCCGCGAAGCGCAGGTACTGACCCGCAGCTACTGACCCAGACGATTGCTCGCTCCATGGCGGGAGGTCGCGTCGAAGACTTTACCGTAGTCCGACTTCCTAAAAAACATGGATATATGGTGTTCTGAGACTGCGGCCCTTAGACGGCCAATGATTTGCCGCTTGGCGGCCGGAGGTATGGTCCATCCACTCCAGTGAGAGTTCGCCTCGGACCTGGCTCCACACCCAGCGGATATCTAACCGCTTTGCTGACCTTAAGGCGGCGTATCTTATTCTAAACCAAAAGGAGGCGTGATAAGAGGAGGGAAGGGCTAGTTCCCCCTCGAGCGGTAGCCGGCGATGTCAACCTCCGATGGCTCTCGTCGGATCTTCAGGCGAACGGCATTTTCCAGCGTTGATCTCGCGACGCGTGTAACCGCCGGGTCATCTGCGTTCAATAATTTGAACGCGTGGGCCACGGCAGAAGCGTCTGCGAGGTCCACCAGCGGGAGAAGACCGCTCCCCCTCCCAAGAGGGAGGGATGAAAACAACCTCGGCGCTGGCACGTTGGAGAAGGTTTAACCATCCCTTTACCGTTCGCCTTAGAATCCGATCGGCCTCCGCTAACGGTAACTTTTTAACGGCTCCCTCCCTTAGTAAAAAGTCAAGGCGCGGTAACAAGAA